ACCATGTTAGAATGGTTGATAGAAAAGGAAAACTGTGAATCTGTATTATATTGAATTGAATGAATGAATACAATAGGAGAAACCTGTATATATAGGCAGAAAAGAAACCTAGATAAGTATAGAAGAAGGTAGAGATACAAGGAGATAGAGATACAAGATAGGGACAGAGATGGAAATAGAGATACAAATAGATAAGTATAATATAATATACATTAACACCAATGAACAATTGTGTTCAAAAATAAAAAAAAATAAAAACCTATGAACAATTAATTGTAACCATTTTAAATTTGAATTTGAAAGAATTTGTGTGGCTGATAGACTCACTACAGATCCTATTTTAATAATCAAAATCATTTATTTTGTAGTACTGTCGATATACATTACTCAGTAATCATAATATTTTCATTTTCTAACATAAGACATGAAAGGATTTTTGTTTCATGACATTGACAGCCCTTTTATTCATACATATTTGTTTGGTTTTAGGGAAAAAGATAGCAACTGAAAATTAGGAGGAACCAGTTCCTCCTCCACTTCCACCACCTTTGGAAGAACCAGCAGAAGAATCACAAGGTTTGGTGCAGATGCACTTGCGAAGCACACCTTCACATTCACCGGATGAAAAGCCTTCTTGCTCTCAGACTGTTGCACAGTTTCGATCCAGGAAGCACATCCCTCTGTACGAGCTGCTTGCTGCTCTGCTGTACAAAGCTTGGCTTCTGTGTTCCTCACTGTCTCTTCCCACAATTTCACAATTTACAATTACAATTACAATTACATACCAAACAAGAAGCAAAAAGGAGATAATATTACTTCTTTCTTTCATTCATTCACTCATAGCGATTGGTATAAATTACACACTTCCTCTAACAATTGGCATAAATTAGAAGTGGCAAATGGGTTGGTTTGAACATGTCAAAACGGGGGCTATGTATTAAAAATAATTCAACCCAAATCCGTCATGTAAATTGTAATTAACCATTTTGAGTTGGTGGGGTTGGTTGAATTGTATATAAGGGTTGAATAAATGAACTCGATCACCTATCTGTTAATTTTATTTAATTTTTTTTCTAATAAATGGTTGCGGTGGTTATATTAAGACAGTGGCAGCAGTGGTAGTGGTGGAATAATGGTAGCAGTGGTGTAGTGATAGACAAAAAAATGTCATATTTTGTCAAGAAGAAAAATGTCACTGTGCTACTATGTGAAACTTTAGATAAATAAAATAAAATAAAAAACACTAACAAGCAGGCAACAGGAAAAGCAACACAAGTCTAAAGAACCTCTCGTCCATATTTTTGCTCCAAATTTGTTCTCAAGCTCTTTTTTACCTCTGGATTTGTTAGTTAGAAGATGACGGATGGGATGTTAATTAACAACATAAAAATCTGGTTTTTATATAAGTAATGTGGAAGCCTTCGAGAAAAGCTAAGTATACAAAAATGATGCACAAAATCAGTCACAGATAAAACATAAAGGATGGGTTCTACTTGTGTTAGACGCACATGTAAAATCCACCTGTTATGTCTTGTCTATGATTGTTAAGTGTTGTTTACCCATAAATTCATTGTTTTTAATACTTTTGTCCTTAAAATAAAGGAAGTTATTAGCGAACGAACCCTCCACCTTCTTGTTCTTGATTGGATTGGTTTGATGGCACAAAGATTATATATACTATACTTCTCTAAAAAAAGATATCAAATAGATAACTATGAATTTAATATTAGATCTTAATTTTGAAATTTTTGATTTCCTTTCATTTGATTTTAATTCAACCATTCTTAAATATTATAGAACAGAAGATAGCTAAAAAATATTTACAAAGAATGTCAACACACTAGAAGAGAAGAAAACAAAAAGGCTTTAATATTTCAAAAAGTATAAAATGAAACACAAGTTTTTTTTTTCCCCTTTTGATGCCTGTAATACTATAAATTTGCCTTTAGTTTTATCAATTTGAAATAAATGGTTAGTATTAATAATTTTATGAATATAGCATTCAATTCAATATAATATTGTAGATTTTGATATCTTTCTTCCTTGCTCTCTCTCAAGACTCTTCGAGGGTATTTGCGTGATAATGGTTTGATATATGTGAGACGAAGAGATTATACATATCAGGAGATTAGTTAAGTCATTGACACTTATGTGAGCAAAGAAAAAAAAATGTATTTATCAATCACATTGGTGCCAAGTTAATTTATCAATTCATCTCTAATTTATCAAATCCCAAAAGTGCAAAAACCGATTTCAATAAGCCCACACCACCATCACCAAATTTCATTCAGATCAAAATGTGAAAATTCATTAAGACCAACAGTGAAAATTTATGTATTTGTAAAATAAATAAAAAAAATTTATATGAATGCACCAGAATTTTAATTTCAATTCTTTTGTCGAATTTTTAGAAAGAACATAATCATTCACCCCACGTAACAAAATTTCTAGAGTTACATTGTGAAGGTTAACCCCATAATTCCATTCGTACAAATTCAACTTTCAAGAACTTAATTTCATTTTTGAGAAAAATAAAAGAAGGTAAGAGTTACATTTGGGCAATTAGTTGCAAAAAAGAGTTTATTTACAGTAGTAGTAACTACTATAGAAGTGTTACTACTCCTTATCAGATCCTTGTTCTACAACAACCAGTGGCGTGACTAGAAAATTTCTTTAGTTGTGTCATTTAATCAGTCATTATCGATATCATTTAAGTTATATTATATTATAAATATATTTAATAAATATAATCAAGGTAGAGAAAGCAAAATCCGTCCCCACTGCACTTCCTCATTGAAGCAAGAAAAACCTATGCGAAGTGAGGCCTGGGACGCAAGGGTGGAGGGAAATGACCATCCCTAATTTGGCCAAATAAAATCTCCCCTATATATAGGCAACATTGCCCTCCATAGGAATAATCTAGAATAGTAGAATGTACAATTAATATGGTGTGGTATGTGACATTAAAAAAAATATATATAAATATAAATTCTCTTGGAGAGTTCCACAACCTTTCTAACCTTTCTATACAAGTTTCAGAATTGTGTACAATATTCTTACAGTTCTAAAATCTTTCATTAACTTCTAATATTTCAACCCTCCTCTGGTGGAGATTTTGTATAGGTAGTGACAGTCAGAAAATTTCTTTAGTGATGTTATTTAATCAGTTATTAGCAAGGTCATTACATCATATTTTTAATTCTAAAATGCTTATCAAAATAAATATACTAAAATATCATATATAATATTAGAGTAATGCTAGACTTCATGAAAAACATATCAAGAAAGATTCATGAAACTTTAAATATAATCTAGTATGGTAGATAACAAAACAGAAAAAACGGCTTACTTTAATGTAAGTATGTTTTAATTTTGAAGTCTTAATTTGTAAATAATATAAATTTAGCTTTGTCCTATAATGCTATATAATTGATAGAGTGTAACTTAGTATATGTGATTGCATAACATATAATAAAACACCACAAATTAATCCGAAGAATTTTCATGAAACTTTCCTAATATGTCTTTCAAGAAACTTAGCATTACTCATAAGAATAGAGAAACTAGTTAAATTACACAAAAATATTTGGGTATAGAGTAACATACTATTTCTTCAATAAAATTACAGACAATGAGATTGCGATATTCAATGAATCAAATAGAGAGAAAACACAAAATGATTGTTCTTGAGAAAATAAATAAGTAAATGTCTTTGTAAGCAATTAAGAATTGTATGCTTTAAAACAAATCTGTTTTTCTTTCTTTCTTTCTTTTTTTTAATTTATTTTTATAAACTCTATCTATACATAAAATTTATTCAAAAAAAAACAAAATCAAAAAAATGCTGTTATAAATAAGGGTAAATTACACTCCTTTACTTAAAATACTGATTGCACCTTGTCAAATACCTCCATGTCAAAAAAATTTATTTAACAAAATTAATGGAAAAATGAAATTCCTATGATATAATTTTCAGAACCACAAAGAATTTCCCCCTGAATGCTATATTTGCATAAGAAATTAGGGGGTAATTTGTTATGAAATATAAACCTCAGGGGACAAATTGTTATGAAAATACAAACCTCAGGGAGCGGGATGTAATTTTCGAAACCTCAGGGAGGTATCTGTAATTTGCCCTTACTTAAAATACTGATTGCACCTTGTCAAATACCTCATTGTCAAAAAAATTTATTTAACAAAATTAATGGAAAAATGAAATTCCTATGATATAATTTTCAGAACCACAAAGGGTAATTCGTATTTTAAACAAAGAGATGTATTTTTAATATAAATAAAAAGGCATCTTTATGAGTGTGTTTTTATTTAAAGTGAAAGGTCCACATTAAAGGAAGAAAAATGCTTGGGAGCACTAATTAGTGCTCCCACTAATTAGGTGGCAGTGGGTCCCGCCATTAATGATGTGATGTTTTGGTCTTAGAGTTGTTTTTTTTTTTTTTATTAGTGGTGATGTTTTTAGTGGGATGAATCATTGTTGATATGAATAAGAGTTATATGGATATCATTACCACAACTATTGTATGTCACACATTAGATAGTAAATAAAACATGATGTAAAAAAATGGTTAGTGTAGTCTTATTGACATAATAAACATCATGATATCATTTTTTTTTTGAATAATGGCATAAAAATAAAAAGATTCATACATAATTTCTGTATAATATATGATGTAATTTAATGTCAACAATGATAGAGACCACTAATTTCTGTATAATACATGGCACTCAATAAAAAAAGAAAAAAAATACAACACTAAGGCCAAAACATCAAATCATTCCTGGTGGGGCCCACTGCCACATCATTAGTGATAGTACTAATTAGTGCTCTCATTCATTTTCCTATTCATATTCATATTTAACCATTAATAGTTATGTGTGTTAAACAAAAAAAAATGTTATAACGATAACAATATGATAAATAAAACATGATGTAAAAAAATGGTAAGTTCAAAAAAACATTATATAGAATTAATTATTTTTTTAAACATTTTTTTTTTTTTTGGAACAATTTTAATAGTATCAATTTATAAAAACCTCTCAAAAAATTTATATAATACTACATAAAAAATAAATAAATAAAATCAAAGTTCGCCCATGACCACAACTAATGCTTGCTGCTCTTGCTCTTGCTCTTGCTCTTGCTCTTGCTCTTGTTCTTGCTCTCCTTCTGCTTCCCCTTCTTCTGACACTTTTGCTTGCGAATGTTGTCTATAGTGTCGAAGAATTACCACAAATATGAACGCTGCATGAAACCAACACAAAGGTAAAATATTAGAAACCTATTGGCACGTTGGGATCTCAACATGAGAGAATTTGAAGGGTCTATAGAGTCCATCATAGGTCCCATTTCGATTATTTGAACCGTTCGGACTCATTGAGTAGAATATTTATGCAAAAAATAAAGATGATCGGATATCGATAGCTATATGTTTGAATCAAATTTATATATTACAAAAAATGAATGGTTATTCTTGAAATTATATTTATCGTCTATTTTTTTAAAAACAAATATGATTCTAATATATAACTACTGATATCATCTTTGATTTTTTTTTATGAATATTCAATGAATCTAAAAAAGTGGATGGTTCGAATCATTGAAATTAATTTCAAAATAAGTCTATCAAACCCAAGCACTCTCAAAGGTTGAGATCCAACTTGAGAAAAACTAAATCCTATTCAAAAATTAAATTATTGCACTATGGCTGTCATTAAAGAAAGATATCAATATGGCCTTGTGCTTCTGTACCAGTATTAAACTTATTTCATCGGCATAGTTAGTCCAAAAAAGAAAAAAGGAGACAAAAAAAATCCAACCTCATGTAAATATGTCTGTTTGTTTGTGTTTTCAGACAACACAACACAGGCATACCTTATCCTACCCTTAGAACCCATTTTTATTTGGAATTCAAGTTTGCATTTTGTTAGAATTCAAGTAATAACAATTTTATCATAATTAGTAAAAATTACCTGCAAATAAGCGTGTTCTAAAGGCGGTCAGATTCCAAAAGGCTGTGGCTGCTGACGCTGCCACGATCTTCTTGTGAGAACAAGCCCCCCATGTTTCCAACACGCTCCTTTTCAAGCACTCAACTGCTAAACAATCTTCCTTCAGTAAAGGCAGAATGAATTCAGACCAAATACAAATTGTATGAACCAATGTTTGTATTACCTTTGCTGTTAATTTGAACACTATAACAGGAGTATAGTTTTGGGCCAGTAAAGCTAATAAAAAACCCTGCCCCAGAGTTTTGGTCAAATTAGTACCAAAATTTTCACATCTAATGATAAATAATCAGAGTTCAATGTGGGGTTTTGGGTGCAGAATAGAATATTACCAAGTGCACAAAGCCTCTTTAGGGTCATGAGATGGCCATACTCAGCTCCAATAAGCAGAAATGGAGCAACCTAGTACCCAGAAAAAAGGTTGAATTTGAGTACCCATTTCAGTAATTTAAAAGATTGGATTGTAAAGAAAGGCAATAATCAGCTTATGATAATACACACTTTGAGGGTCATGATTGGTTCCCCTGAAAATATCTCTCTAGTTTTTGAAATTGCAAGGTTTGCTGTTGGAAGTATCACTCTAGCCGCTCGCAATATGTCATTTTCTTTCAGCTTGTATGTGCGCTTATTTTCAACATTACCTCTGTCAATTGATCATACAAGAAAACTTATCAAACAGAGAAAGGTAGATAGAAAACAATATCAAATATGTGAAAATGGGGGAGATTTACCTTTGACAGATTGAATTGGAGAAGAATGATAGGCCCAAAAACAGGAGGCCCAATTGAGATATGAAAGAGAAGATGCTACAAACACATTATTGGGAAACTTTTAGACATTATAAAGATCAAATCAAAGCTTAATTTGAGAGAGAGAGAGAGAGAGAGATTGGATACCTAAAGCTGATTCCTCTTGCAAAACAAGAAGATAGGAAACAGAGTGAACCAAATCCAAACCAAAGGGTTGATTTTGCAACATCATTCCACAAAATCAGATCAGTTATCAGCTGTCCAATTCGATCCAGATTATACAGATCGTCATCATTTGTTTCTAAAGTCCAAAAATCAACAACCAAACGAGCACAAATCAATCAAATCAAACTTGAACTTCAAAAACAAAACAAAATTGATCAAATGAATCAATAATTAATAACACAACTGAAACATACTTGGAGATGGAACTGAAGGCACCAAACTGAGCTTATCTTTCTTGGACCGACCACTATGCCTTCTCTTTTTTACCTTACCCATCTCTTCCAGCATACCCAAATCCCTCTCCTCTCGAATCTCAGGCTCCAGCCGCCTCCGTGACCTCCTACCATTCCTAGGCGAAGCACAACCCAATAAACCCATAGACCCATTTCGATTCTTGCATCGCCGGCGCAACCCATTTGGCTCAACAGGCTCTTCAGCCATGTCAAGCTTCTCCACCAAACGGGTCTTCGATCTTCGGAGAGGGGAAGGCGAAAGGAGCAGAAGCTCGTGCATAGGGACAGGATTCTGAGGCCTAGGAGAGGGCAATGATGGAGTGGTGATCTTCGGTGAACAAGGGACTAAATCAACAGAGAGGCGAGGCGTGTCTTCGATTTTGCGGTCGAAATGGGTGAGCCGAGCGAGGCGAGAGGCCGATTTGATTCGAATTCGGGGCTCAGATCGATGAGAAGGAGGTGTTGAATCCATTGATGAGATGTTTCTGTGCTTAAGATTTGCGATTGCGAGTTTGTTGTTTGTTTGGTTTTGAGTGAGAGACAGAAGAAGAGGAGAGAACAGAGAGGGTTTTGAGGGGTTATGGGTTTAAGAGCCGTTGGAGTGAGAGAGTGACTGGTTTTGATTTTTTGAATTTTTGTAGAGCGAAAATAGTGGGTCCGTGATTTTCAACGGTAAGAAAACGAAAGGATAATCCGTTGGGTGCGGTGTTTGTAGCTTTCAGTGGGGGTCCATGTTTTGGACCACCATCGTACGGTCCTCATGCCATCTATGATCACAGTCATTCTGGGACCGTTGATCACTATTGATCGAATATGGCGATCATGTGATTTTGTGCAATTGATCTTATTTACTATAATTTAGTCACACAGGCATTTACTACAAACAAAATATAACAATTTATCTCGTCTTTACAAACTAATGTAACAGTTATCATATTAATAAATTAAATTTCATTTTTGCATTTCAAAATTTTATTTTTGTATATCACATCAATTTATACATAAAATAATATTTATATATTATTTCTCTCCGAATGAAACGAGCCATATTGGATAAATAATAATCTGGTGCACAAAAATCCAATACATGAGTTGTAAGATCAAATTATTCATATAATTTCCATCCATCTATCAAAAAAAAATTGTTTATACAGTTCCGATATTTTTTTTCAAACGCTTCTGTAGCAATTGCTTCTGCTACGTCAAGTCAATGGAGCTGATTAACAAAGTTATCTAAATCCAATACAGTTCAATTCATAAGCAGGAACTTCAGACACAGTACGTGTGCATTTGTTAATCCAGCATGAGTTCGTAGTTCTTTGATCCATCAAAAACTCAAAATTATTAATCCTTCTTTGCATGCCTCAAGCAGAAGGCATTTATCCTACCAAGGCCGTCTTCGAGAGATGATGGCTCAGTGGCAAAAGTAATCCGGAGCCAGTTCTTCAGTCCAAGGGCTACTCCTGCACAAAGGTGTAACCAACAAGGTCAATGCAATTCCAGAAAGAAGCTTACTCTCAACATAATGGAACTTCTAGGCACAAGGTTCGATATAATGACTATATTATTAATCTCTCTCTCTCTCTCTCTCCAAATTGTGATCAAGACATTGACAAATTTAAATGTAAGACATCAAGTATATGAGGTGTGTATTTTCAAGATCATGCTTGTGAGAACAAAAAAGTGCAGAAACACACAAGGGTCCATTTGGATAGTTGTGGATTTCAAATCAAAGGATTTGAGCATCAATGGATAGAAAAACAACAGAACAAGATAAATTGGGATAGAAGATATATAAATTTCAGTAGGATCCTTATAGCTATAAAGAGAATACTTAACATGATTTCAAATAATTAGTTTTATATGAGTATTTCAAATCTATCATGATAAGGCCATTTAACTCAATCTTGGAATTCATAAATAAATTACCATATATATAAATTTGAGTTATTGTCATTGAATGATTTGATCAAATCCCTTTATTTGAAATCCACATCTATCTAAATGGACCCTAAAGGTTCTTAAAATTCATATGCTGAAAAGAGAGAAAATAAATAAATAAATAAGACAAATAAAACATGTAGGCATCAGTAAACAATATGGCCAAAAAACCTCCACAATTATGAGGGGATTCTTCAAGAAGGCAAAAAACTACTATAAGAAATTCAATCTCTTTTTTTTTTCGTTTCTTTCCTCACCTGGAAGAACAATCACAGATTCCTCTTTAGCAAGTTTGCCACAGAACTCCATATCATCATTAATTCCTTCCAACAATGACAAGTTTAGCTTAACCTGCAGTGAAGCAGTCACCGAACTTGTAAGGGTCTTCAACTCCTTATGTTTTCAAAAAACAAAAAGAGTCTCCAATTTTTCCACATGCTAACCATTACAAACATGGATCCTTCTGCTTTGTGTGGGCAAGTAATGCAAGGAATCTCCTCGTGTTTATCATAACAAAAATCTGCAGCTTCTCGTAGTACATTGAGAGTCTTCAGAAAGAAGTCTTCGGTTGTATTTGCCAAAAAGTGAGGAATGGCCCCCTGATACATCAACCACGTAATTATTTCTCTACTACTAGTTATAAAAGCAAGATATTATTTATGGATCTCAAAGCAAAGATATGAAAACACAATATTTAGTACATCAATCCAGACCACTAAATCGAGAGTGACTGTGTGCCAACTAACTTACTTCAGCAGTGTGAACTCTGTAACACTATATAAGATTTTTAAGTCATTAGAACCCGTAGTATGTTAGTTCCACTAATAAGATCTATGAGCTAACTCATAACTACAACTCACATGTGATATTTTATCTCCTGCTTTTCCAAAGGTAGAACTTGAAGATTCGATTCCTTGAGGCTTCTATCTGAATCACTCCCGTGTTAATTTTCACTAAATCAAATTTGTTGCTAATGCTACAATACTAACAGCTAGGAGAAGTATTGCATTGTTCACAGTTACATATGGCCTTAAGCAGCATCTCGGATTTGCATACCTGAATGGAGGTTGCAGGACCGGAGGTAACATTGAGACAGGCCTTAATGCGATTAACAATCTGAGACAACAAAACATATACTACATGATCACAATGGGATACAGTACAATCAGCATAATAAATATGTAAGGCAGACATTGTTGGGTCTGTGGACCAACCTGATAAGTACTGTTCACTCAATATTGGGTCCAATGGGGGTTTGGGGGGAGTCCAGAAGGTTTGGGTACTTTAGTAACGTCCCCGTTGCTTCTGCATTGCCCTAATCTATACTTATAAATAGATAAAGGGGGCCTGTCTTTTACGTTAAGAGTTGTATTGTTTTCTGATCATAGTAAAAACCAGAACAACTGTGGACGTAGCCCTATTCTGAGGTGAACCGCGTAAATCCTTGTGTTCTTGTGTATGTGTGATTTGTTTGATTCGTTTTATCTTTTTTATTTGTTATTTCATGTCTCACCGATCCTAGTTATGAAGAGTTAATTCCTAACAGACATGTCCTTGTAAGTATGCATAATCTACAAAAAGTGTAATTAAAGTTGAAAACTAGTTCTTTGAGATGGTAATGCTATATATTTGGAAAATATATGTTACCTCCACCATTTTTTGTTTTGGTTCTTGTCTCCCTTCCACCTCCCATTTGTCATCTCCTCAAGAGGCAATAACTTGGGAATAGTCAATATGATTCATATTCATTTTACTTTCATGGGGAATTCCTTTTTTCCGTTTTCTCTTTATTTTTCTGTTGTAGTTGTTGAAATTTCAACCATCATCTTATCTAAAAGCTTAAGCTATTGGAGGAATAACTTTATTACTTATATCCTCAATAGGACCTCTCAAGCCTGGCTAGATTATTCTCCATAAGCAGGCCAAACAAGTGCAAGTATTATATTCTATGAAGCACAGACACGGACATCGACATCGACACAGGACACGGCGATTTCAAAAAAATGAACACACAGACAGCAGGGGATACGGCAAAAAAAAATTTATTATTATATATATTTGCTACATAAATTAATATTATATTACCAAACATTCAAAATTAATAAATATCTATATAATAAGATAGAAAGGTTTTTGAAAAAGTGTAAAATGTATCAGAGATACATTTCGTTTCAACGGCTAAGATGAATCTTACATTTATATTAACGGTTCAGATCAATTATAGTCCCGCCCAAACATTTCTCCTGAGCTTTCCACCAACCCACGTCTCCCCACCTTCCCTCTCTGTCTCTCTCTCCCTCTCTGCTCTCACGTCTCCCCATTCCCTTTTTATCTCTCTCTCTCCTTCGAAATCGGACCCTTGGCTAAAGAATGTTTGAGTTCATCTATGGTGTGTGAAACAGCGAGCACAACAATCCACCGATTGGCGTAAACCTCTTAACTGTGAATCGCAACGCCGTTGACAGTTACGACGCCGTTCGCCGATCGAATAACCACCTTCTTCTGAGGAGATAGTGTCTCCAATCGTCCCGACACAACGTGGCGAAGGAAATCGAACCGAAATTCATTAGATTCGGAGAACAAACTCGAATCTGATGGAGCGAATCATTCACGTAGAGATCAGCTGGCGGAGATTGTTTTCTTGGATCCGAAGATGGCGAGATCGCCGTTGAAGCCCTTGGAGACGAAGAGGTAGCGATTGGTTTTCCAGGTACAGCTTCATGGGTTTTGTCTATTATCATTAATTGTTTTGTTTTTGGTTCTTTTGTTGATGAATTTTCAGTGTGTGTTGCAATTTTAGACAAAAATAGAAGAATTGAAGTTGAAATTTTAGAAGACCCAATTCAATTCAATTGATTTATTTTTCTTTCTACAATCTTTGTTGGAGCTGAGTACGAGAAGATTTGGCAATATCAGGTATTTATCAGGTTACGGCTTCATGAGTTTTGCCTATTATCATTAATTGTTTTGTTTTTGGTTCTTTTGTTGATGAATTTTCAGTGTGTTGAAATTTTAGGCAAAAAAAAAAGAATTGAATCTGAAATTTTAGAAGACCCAAATTTGAGGGAAAGTAACTGAAATTTGGGTCAACATGAAAAGTAATTTCATACAGTATTTATCAGAACATATGTGTGCTTCAACATGAAAACTGAATCCAGATAATTTGACACCCAAACATCACATTAGAAGTTACAAGAAAAAAACAAAAACAAAAAAGGAATCACCTTAGAAGCCATGCTAACATGTACTTAAAAGTGAATGAGACTTGGGCGCCTAAGGGGAAATGATCTAGATGTAAAAAAAGAAAAACAAAATGACAATATAAGCTGGATGACATACGAAACAAATGGGGTCAGTTTATGACTCATGATTTGCATTATGCTCTAAAAGATTTTTCTTTGATATGTCTAATCAGCACATAGTTTTAGTAGAAACAAAAGGTAATAATATATCTATATTTCTTTGTCAATTAATGTGTTCTCTATTATATCAATGCAAGAGCCAACGGACTTTCCCAAAGCCATGGCTTCTGCTACTCTGGATCGAGCTTTCTGATGACAAACTAATATAAAGAGAGTATTTACAGCAGCCCATTTTACTTGAGAATCAGCTTCATTCTTTGTGAAACCCGACTTTACTCTCTCTTTGATCTCTCTCTTTACCTTTCTCATCT